AAAAACTCAATTTTTAAGGACAGAATGCATTAATGAACAGAGGAAAATGTGAACAAATTAATACCTTCAAGCACTGCAAGACACAGGGAAGGACACAAGGAGTGGCTGGGTCCCTTCAGAGAGCACAGCAGTGGCTGTGGTGCCTCCTGGCAGCATTCCTGCATCCAGCCCTGGAATCCAGACCCCATGCCAATCACTCCAGAGCATTATTAAGATCCATGGCATCTTGGTGCAATTCCAATCAAAGCTTCTGTCCTGCACATTGGAGTGGGATAGGTAGCAAAGGTGGATGTAAAAAAGTGAGCAAGCACCAATGATGGGGGTTTGTACCACACAAGCTTAATAATACGCTAAAATAAAAAAATGTGTGCATTATTGCCTTTGACACTTTATCTGATCTTGCACTACCAGACAACTCAAACTAAGAGTATCTGGCAGAATTCAAGATCATTTTGCAAAGACTTTTCCATCTCCTTCACCAGATCCCTCTCAGTAAGACATGATGGAGAGGGAGTTGGAATACATCATATTAGAATGGATATAAATGGTAATGATCATGCTCCTCCACAACACTTGCACTTTAAAGAATCACTTAATTAACCCTGAATTGAACAGAATTGCCAGTCAGGAATAGAGCAGTTCAATTGATAAGAGCTTCCTGACCCTCCTTCTCAAGGGCAAGATTCAGTAACCCTTATTTATGTTAAACATTAGCTTACCCTGTGAGGAACCTCCAGAAATCAATAGGAATTGCACTACATGAGTAAGACTGGCAGAGTCTGATACCAATTATAAACTCAGATTGGCCCTCAGCTGGGTATTTCTGTCTGCTCTTTTCTTTTTTGTTTTTTTCCTTCCATATTCCTCCTCCCCCATGTCTGCACCCAAGAAAATACAGAATGTTCCCTCTTATAAAAGGCACTTGAATGGCTGCTTCTCCTCTTTCTCTTTAATCCAAAAAGTATGACTATTTCTTGTTAAAGGAAGGTAATGTTTGACAAAACTTGGCAGATTTAAGTGTATTTCTAAACCTGGAAGGAGCTCAGCCTTTTTGACAAAATGGAAGCCACAATTTGTGACTTTTAAATGTGAAGTGGTTTATTTCTTTTTGAAGGAAAAAGTCTATCTGGAACCACTAGAGAAAGCATTAAGGGAAGCAATCTGGACTTTTTAAAAAAAAGAGATATAAGAGCTTTTTTCTTTTACCAAAGCATGTGAGGGAAGAGGTGGATAAAAACAAGGAGATGTATTTTCTATTTGCAGCTCCTTTCCCCAAATTTTCCCAGAAGCAGAACAGGCTGTAGCTGGGTAGAGGAACTGAAAGCCTGAAGACACTGCTGAAGAGAAAAATACCCATGTGATGCAAAAGCGAGGTGGGAGAGAAAAATCCTCCAGCCTTTTATTTTGAGTCACCTCAAAGTTAAATTACATCTTGCTGCACAGGGAAACCACATCTCCTGAGAGCTGGAGCCTGGGTTTCTGTGTCTCCTCTCTGCTCTGGCCTCCCACACTGGACTCCCTCTCCCAAAATGTCACTGCCACACAGCACAGGGGAGACTGGAGAACGGCAATCCAGCCTTTAACCTTCTAGCTCAACAGGCTGAAGGACAGTGAGCTCAGGCTGGGCAGCCCTAAACACAAGACTTTTTTTTACGTGGCCTGATGAAAGAGTTGTTAGTGCCTTAGAGTTGCTCATGTGGCAGAAACTGCATTTTTGATCAAAACCATGGTTTTAATGGGAAATTTAGAAGCAGGTCTATTCTTACTGAAAAAGGAATAGCAAAAAGCCCCAGTGGGATCTCAGTAATGAAATCATGCAGAAATCATCCTTCAAATACTGGTGTACAAGCACAATAGATGCTGGTGTTTTCTTCTTCTCAATGGCTGTTGCTCATGCTGCCTTTTCCCAAGCCCAGTGACAGATTGTGCTGGAATTTCATGGGAAGCATTGCTCCCTTGGATCTGTGTATCTCTGACTTGACAGCACTGCTTTCAGTCTCTATTTCCCCCCAGTTTAGTAGGTACTTTTCTGCATGAATTAGATGCTTCCAGATTTTTGGAAGCTTGTTTTTTACATCAGACAATGTCTGATTGCCTGAAACTATTGGATACCTAGCAAGCTGGGGAAAGGAAAAGAAAAAGAAAAAAAAAAGAGCTGTGTCTGGCTCTGGTATTGTTTTCTGCTCATGTCCTAAAGCCATGTCAGGTTGAAATAAGGTACACAGCATCTCTCCCATCCTCCTTCACTGGCAGCATCCCAGCGTCTGTGGAAAGGAAAACCTGGAGTGTGCACTGACAGGGAATTGCAGCATGGTCAAATAGGTTTCTGTTGGAGAAGAGTGGGGCAGCAAGCCTGCAGGCTCCTCCCTGGCTGCAGAGACACAGCCAGCAAGCCAGGAGCTCCTTATTTGCTCTGTAGACACAGACAAGGAGATTTACTGCTTGGTGCAGCATTGCCTCTGGGGCTGGAATTGGATTTCTCCCCAAACTGTTACTTCCTTTCAAGCTCCTCTTCTGCACAGAAAATTTTAGGAGGAAATGCCACTGGATTACACAGCTGCTGTCTGCCTGGGCTTTAAATGTGCCAATTTGCATCAGTCTGTAGGCAGTGCTGAGAACAGGCTGGAAGGGACTGCAGCCTCCCCATGTTACTAGTGGCATCTTACTTGCAAATCTGAAACAATTGAAGGGAAAAGGTGAAGCAGGACTAGAGACAGCCAGCTCTGACATACTATGAAAACCCTAAATTCTTCTTTTCTTCTGAGAAAAGCATGTGTGAAACACAGCATTCTTGAGGGATGCCCTGCTGGACATTAGGATGAAGCCTCAGTAACTGATGGAAGCAAAATGAAGTACAAAATGTCCCCATGAAGTAAAAATGTGAAACTGATCATGCTGGGAATGAAAATCGTTGAGAACAAACCTGTCACTAAACACATGGAAAAAAATTTAAAGATAAATTGTAACAGTATCAGTGCACTATGAGAAAGCTGATTCCTACTTGTTCTGGAGAAAAAATTAATAGGATAAGACCTCAACTGCAGAAATGATGGCCAGAAGTGAAGTGCTAAAGCTTTGCAATTCCCTTTTCTGTCAACAGATAAGCAGGGACACTGCCATGGGAAGCATCCCCATGCAGCACCACCACAAAGCCTTCAAGCGTTACCTTTAAATGTGCAAGCAGGTTCCCATCTCTTAGAGAGACCTGCTCCTTGCTGCTCAGAGCTTGGGTTATGCAAGGACTTTGTGCCTTGGCAGGCTCAGGAGAAGAGGAGGCAATGTGCACAGCCTGGAATCTGGCAGCCTGCCCTGCTTCTCACTGAAGCAATTCTGCTGCTGGGAGCTGTCGCTGGGGAAGCAGACAGAGATGTTGGGCTGGGACTCCTACAGGAAGGAGCTGCCTCAGATGCTGGCTGTACATCCCCACTTCAGGACTGGGATGTATGTGTGAGTCAAGTGACTCAAATTTAGAACTCCCTCAGACTTCTTCTGTGCCCAAAGGAAGGCATAAGCATCTGCTAGTGGTGCACAAGACACCCAGATGTTAGAAGAAAACTTCAATTTACTGTCACCTGCCCTGCTTTGTAGGAGAGACTTTTAAAGGGCAGAGCACAGGAAAAACTCCTGCATGTGCTCAGTGTTTCCTCAGAGGAGAGTAAATAAACCCTTTAGGCCTTGTTGAACCAAAAACAGCATAAAAATATGCAGTAATCACCATTCTAGGGGTGCCAACCTTTGCTGAATGGTAACATTATTTCCAGACATTTCTAAATATTTATATCAACACTGTCATGACTGCAATATGAGCTACTTGAGTGCCTCTCTCCTCAATGGCACGTGCTCCAGTTCAGCTGGCACGTTTGAGGAGCTGTGTTCAGTGTCTTGGGTGAAGAAGCACTTAAAAAGGCATTAACTAGGAAATTAACATCCCTGTTTTCAAAGGGATGTGTGAGAGGAAGAAAAAGGCAAACTCTCGAGTTAACACTTAAAAACATAAGTGAAATCATACAGAATTTTTTAAAGAAACTAACTTGGACAGCTGCTGTTATGATTATCTTATGAGATTCATTAAAGCCCTGTTTGACATTCAAATAAGTTCTTGTTTCTGGTGGTAGGAAAGAAGGAGAGTATGTACTTTAAAGAAATTACAGGATTTAGAAATGAAGATGAAAGATTCAGAACTACCTTGTAGTTACTTTCTGCTCCCTCTGCCCTCTTATAAACTGGAAATATTATGACAAGAGGCACAGTGACCTCTGATGTACTGCACAGGAAGAAATGAGAAAGTTAATAGGGGAAGCACCAAATTAGACACCTGAAAGAACAGGATTAAAAGATGAATAAGAATATTATATCACTTGTCAGCATGGCATTACAGAGTCCAACTTCATCTTTTTTTCAGCTTTCATTAAGGAAATGAGTGGATGCGGCTGATTCTTTCCCAGCCCTGCACAGCCTAGTGAAAAGGCAGGATACATTCACTCAGCAGGTGCATTCCAACAATGTGTAAAAGGAAATTATTTCATGGACTTGCACTGCACCTCTCTCCCCATTTTAACTGGGCACAGGTGCTCCATGCAGCTCATTCTGGGAGTGGGACTGAGCTTCCCAGAGCTGCTCACAGGCACAGATGCTCCTGGTGCTCCCTTTATTAAACACATACAGCAGAGGGATTTGCATCATCTCCCTCTCTGGCTCTGCCCCACTCACCCTTCCCATGGCAGCTCAGAAGATCAGCCACAAGTTCCCACCACAGCTTTAGAGAGAACTAAAAAATGTGGGTGCATTCTGCTCCTCATTTATGATCCAGCACCACCCAGGTTTCAGGTGTGCATCTGCCTGAAGCAAGATCAGAACTTTAATACTTCCTTGTAAGTATTAAAGATGTCATTAGCCACCCAGGCTTATTCCTCTTGGACTCCCATTTGTTCCTGAATATCCACCAGCCATATACCAGAGCATTTCTTTCCATATGTGGTCTGTAGGAGGTAATGATCAAATACTATGATGATGAAGATGCTCTAAAAATATACAGAATCTAATCTAGTTTAGATTTGACTGAAATAAACATGGACAAGGATATGTTGGGAGATGATCCTTTTACTTGGAACTTTCACCTTAGTGTGGTAAGAACCAGATTTTTTTCTTTCCTGGTGTATTATAAATCTTGTGTTTTTCCCTAGGCAAAAAGATGTCTTGAGAACAGAGTAAGTGGGTGAAAAATATAAGAATTGGCAGACTGAAGTGTCATGGATGATGTTCTGCTTTCTATCAGCTTATTATATTTGATTTTGTGCTGGTTGTAAGCCTGGGAAAAACACATTTTATAAATTAAAAAATCAGAAAAAACCTAGCTATTGCAATATGTCCTCACCTGTTATAGGCATGCAAAATCTTCTTAGAAATGGATTCTTACATTCTGAGTAAGATGAGTTCTGAGTAAGGCTTCTAAGAAGATGAGTTTGACCTTTACAAAAGGAAGTGACACACATTAAAGATTGAGATGTTCAGATATTGTAGTAGCTGGACTGACTGGTTCAGTATCAGAAACCAATAGGGTTTTCCTCTTTCTTTTCAGCTTGTACAGGTTTGTATTGCTTGGCACCTTGCATTAGAATTTAGCTGAAAATAAAGCTCAGTCCAAACCCCTCTTACCAGAGTGAATTCCAAATGGTTTGGAGGATGATTTGGTATTCAAGTACCTCCATTCCCACAAGCACTCCTTCCTAGAAATAAGAGGCTGAGTTTTAAGTTAATTAAACATGAGACAAGGTTCTAATTGGTTTGATTTTCCTTCAGAAGGCTTGATGTGCCCTTCACAATTTCTGGCACATGCCCCTAAGCAATATGTCACGTCCCTGCTGCCATGCTGCCTCTGTGGGGCTGAACCAGCAAAGCTTTTACAAAGGGATGCTCAGCCCAGGCCACTGAATTCCTGTTCCACCTGTGTGATCCCACTGGATTTACCAAAGGCTGATTCTTTAGATATCTGCTTAACCTGTCTGAAGTTACTCACTGGGAACATTCTTAGCATTTGCCTTAGGAAAAAAAATGAAAAGAAGCAGAAGAGTGGAAGGAAAATAAAGAGAGAAAAGGCAAAATAACTGTTCTGTGTTAATCTCTCACAGCTTTATTTCATCTTTCATTTTGTCACTGTAAACCTCTCAAGTATTTAATTACTCATTTTTTTCTGGTTTTGTTATTTTTATAGGGACTGTGCAGATTGATCTGGAGGATTTCTATTTTGGATGCCATTAAGTAAGTATTATCTGTTCATTCTGACAGCTGATCTCTGACAAGAAATCTGCTGTTATCATTCCTCTGTCTTTTTCCTGGGCTCAGATGGCAACATTTCACTTGAAATATTCTCACTGCAAATATAAGAATTTTTCTTTACACCTGACATTATCTCATGTATACTGGCTCTCTGAGAAAAAAAAAAATCCCAGGGTCTTTTTTAACATCTTTCTTACAGCCTGCACTTCAATAAAGATGAAATGTTTATCTGGGACACATCCATGCAACAGGAGAGTGCAGTTACAATGCTGCAGCAAGGATGTTAAATGCCCACAGACGTGTCATGTCATGAAGATTGATTTAGTTTGGTTAAGGCATTTTATACTTCCTTTTTATGTGGGGATGTTCCTAAAAGAGTGTCCTGAACTTTGGGAACACCCTTATGTGCCATGTGATCTGAATTAATCCTCTCCTATATCACAACCTCTAATTTGCCTTTCCATACTTTCTATTTCTTCTGCTGAAAGTTTCACAGGAAGAAAGAATCACAGCAAGCCTTGTTTCTTTACTTCTTATCAAGGCCACTGTCTTTCTTGGAATCAAAATGCCATAGTGGAAATCTTCAGCTCCTTTTATTTTAGATTCAAGAATTTCTTTTAGATTCAAAAATGCGGGCATCCACATGCATTTATCCAAAGATAAAACCCCTTTCCCCACTAAAGCATATTTCTTAATCTTCTGCAGCGACACCAGGAAATTGTACCCTGCCCCTCACACCCTCCTGGCTTCTCCCCTGCTTCCAGCTGCAATTTGCAATTCCAGGGGCTCCAGAATTACCCCTACCCTCCTCCCCATCTCCAGCCCTGTGCAGCAAGCCCTCCCCAGCAGGTCCCTGCTCACTGAAGGGTCACGTCCCTCCCAGGGCATTTTGGTACCTCCAGCTTCATCTTTGTCTGTCAGGGAGGACTTCAAAGCGCTGCTGGGGTCAGGGTTCAGATCCTTCTCGGGAAAAACAAAGGAAGGTTCTAACTGTAGCTTATGAGGAATGATGCAAAGCAGCTGATTGCGTTTTGTCAAGGAGAATGAACTAAGCCCGGGCTACCCAATAAACAAATCAGTTAAAACAATTTGCAAGTCATATTAACTCCACATTCTTTCAGGGGGTATCCTGAAGGACTTTAGAGAGACATTTACAGAGGAGTTGTACCTACCAGGAGACAAAGCATTGACTGAAATACTAAAAGACTACCAATGAAATCTAAGCAGTTTCATACTGGAGGGAATTTTCTTCCTTTTCTTGAAATGCAGAAATTTCAAAGTGCTAAAGTGCAAGCAAAGGCAACGGGAGCAGAATAGCATAAATCACTCCTTCAGGAATTCCAGACACAATCTATCCTGCAACTAGGTACCCCTACTAAACTGCAGAAAAGAAAAATGTTGCAGAAAAGGAAGGGAAATGCATAAAACTAAATGCTAGCCATGTATACTTGTCCATTGTTGAGTTATAACTTATTCACCAGAAAAAAAATATTAATCTATAACCAATCTTGAAAATATGAGGAGAGCAGACCAAGTTTCCAGTTAACAACCAGACCACCCAATTGTCCCTTGTGCCTGGATGAGATTGAGCAAAGGGAGTATAAAATATCCTGAAGGATGCTGAAATGTTTCAGGGTGTTTACCACTTAGCAGAATGGAAAGCAGCACAAGCAAAAAGGTTGGTGACACAAGCTGGACCTGAGACAGCTGGGAAGAAAGGTTGGTTTGGGTAAATTTCTCAATGATCCTTCTGATGCCATATGCTTAGGAAAAACAAGTAAAGACAACCTGAGTTCCTTGGACAAAATCCCTTGCCTTAAAGCCAATTTGCTCTAATGACATTAAATCTTGTTTTGAAACTGATGAGGTTATACAGGGTGAGGGCAGAAACTGGATCCCTGTCCAGGGAGATGCTTACAGCCCTCCAGAGGATGATCAGTAATAACACAAGTGCAGTTCTTACTCTCTAACCTGACATCAGTAATGGCAAGCTATTCCCCTTCCCACACACTATTGCAGCTCCTCGTTTTTGTGTTGCTGGTAACAGCTGCTCTGGGTACAGCAGCCTGGAGATGTTCATCAGGCTCAGCCCCATGTGCTGAGGGCTTCACACACACCCTAAAAATGGAACTTGCAGCCTCCCCCTGCCCAGGAGCTCAGCTTCAACAGCACAAAGCAACCAAATGGCAGCAGGAGACCAGAGAAATACAGGAAGGGAATCAGGCAAAGGTCACTCTTGGTGTCAGGAGGACAAGCAAAGCCAGGCTGTGCTGGCTGCAGCCTCAGGAGCCCTGGCTGATCTGCACTGGTGCCACTTTCCCAGAGAGCTGGCTCTGACCAGGCTGGCTCTTCCAAAACAGAACTCACACCAATCCCCAGATTTCTTGCCCATCTCTTGCATTTTGTGATGCAGATGTTCATTTGCCCCTCACAGCTGAGCCAGGTTACCCAATAAAGCTGATTGATTATTTTTCCATGCTGATACTTGGTAAACCACTGCTGAGCCATCTGGGCCCTTGGTGCCACTGAGCAGGACAGCTTTGGCTCTGTCCCTGATCCATCTCTGTCTCTGCTCTCTCCTGCCATTAGCTGGTCACTGACACAGGCAAACTGCTGCTCCCAGCTCCAGCTGAAAGCAGCAATGCCCAGCAAGAGATCCAAAAGAATTTTGATACAGCCTGAACATCAGCCTCTGCTGGAAGGGAAGGGTCAGCAAAGCACTTTCCAGGACTGATTAAAAGCTCTGCTCAGCTGCAGGAGGGTGGGAAATGGCAGCCAGGCTGACAGCTGGCACATCCTCGCTGCAGAGGGATGGTGGAGGTTTCTGTCAAGGGTAGGAACACAAATCCATCTTGAAACCAGGAGTCGTAAAATCTGTAACAGTGAATTAGGAGAGAACAAATAGGTTTTGTGCCTTTTTTAAATCCCTTTTAAGATAATTTCAGCTGTTTGTTGTGCATAAAATACACAGAAATAAACTTGGACACCCTGGAAAAACTTAAAATAAATATATTTCAGGGAACTGAAACATATTACAACGTTTGTAATCCACCCCTCCTCTCCCCCCCTCCCAAAAGAAAAAACCAAAACAAAAAAATAATGAAATTTTAAGAGGAGTCAATTATATTTCTTTGGGGATTTTTTTGGCATACTCCACTCACGTTTTCCAACTTCTCAACTGCAGATGCCAGGACTTTTTTTTTTTTCTAGAAAGTGGTATTTGAACATTACTAAATTATAGCTGAAGTGGGAACCAACACAACACTAAATAAGAACACCAACAGACACAAATGCCAATGCTGGTGATGCAGAAAACCACTAAGCCATTTCATCTGACTGAACAGCATAAGAAACAAAAGCCTTGGAATTGCTAACAAGTTAAATCACAAATTGTAGGGTTTGCCATTAAGTATGATATACCACAAGAAACTTTATCACAAACTATTAGAGCTGGCATTAATTTGTGCTTGGCTTCCACTGCATAAAGCCCAAGTGCACCCCTGAGAGGGGAAATCCTTGTGCCTGTGGAAAATAGCTGTGAACTTTGCCCTATGGCAAGTTTGTAAGAGGCTGACACAGGAAAAAAGAAGTGAGTGGAAAGGATCTGACTGGAAACACAATAGCAGACTTAAAAGGCTCTGATAAATGAAAAGTCATTCTGAGATTAGGGTCTCATTCAAAAAAATAACAAAGACATTTTCTGGTATGTGGCTGAAAATAGGTTCCATATGAAAATGCTTAGTAGAGCTTATCAATACTCTTCATTCTCAGCAGTCTCTGAATAAATGCAGCAATTTTAAAAACTAAAATGGCATTTTCAAAACATTCTGTAATTTACACTCAGAAGCTACACAACTAATGCCTTTATTTTTCCAAACCAATAATGCAGTTTTAAAGATTTTGATCTTACAATTCCTTCACACTTTTTTCCCCTTCCATCTGTCTGATCTTGTCCTCTCTTCTTGTAAAAACACTACCAGCCAGGAAAAAAGAAAACAACTTTCCTTGTCTGAAAACTGAACCAGCTTAGAGTCAGTTGATTCAAATGTTTGGGAAGCTTTGTGTGGAAAATTTAGAGAAAGCATTGAGAAATGTTTATCATTTTTATACAATCTCTAGTATCCAATGAATCTTTAAATCTCTGTTTGCAGGGTGTATGTAATATTCCAAACTCTGTAATGGACTGCTACGGACAGAATTTGTTTTTCTTTTTGGTTAAAAATCAAAACAAAACAAAACAAAAAACTAAAACAAAACACCCAAAACCAAACCAAACCAAAAAACAACCCAAAAACCAAACTGATGGAATCTTTAAAGTAAAATTAAAGCAAACTTTGCTTTGCATCTGGAGCAAGTAGATGGCTCCCACCAGCAAGCTAGCTGAGAATGGGAATTGTATTTGAAAATCCTATGAAGCAGAGAGGCATCATTCTGAAGAAATTTGTTTCCAATGTTGTACTGTAAAATTAAAAATGCTTTCTGGAAAATGAGATAACAAAAGAACTCTTACTGATGCTGCAATTCATCCTCTTGTTCTGTTTCAACTAACTAGACCAGATAGCAACTTTCTTATTTTTCTGCCCTTGTGATAACTCAGTGCAGATTGATAGTGTAAGTAAAATCTGAGATTCCATTCTTGTGTGGCTTTTGGAATAGATTTAGAATAATCTATTGTTGAAGCTATGTGACAATAACTTCTTTCTAGCAATATTTAAAAGAAGTTTTAAAGCAAATAAAGTTTTCTCAGGTTGTCTAACTTTTGTTCATGGTGCAGCATGTAATAATAATTAATTTAACAGCAGGAGCACACCAGGGGGAGAAGTAAAAATCCATTATTTCCTTGATACACTAGATATCAAAGCAGTACAGAGGAATCGTATTTGAAAATCCTATGAAGCAGAGAGGCATCATTCTGAAGAAATTTTTTTCCAATATCGTACTGTAAAATTAAAAATGCTTTCTGGAAAATCAGATGACAAAAGAACTCTTACTAATGCTGCAATTCATTTTCTTGCTTTGTTTCAACTAACTAGACTGGATAGCAACTTTCTTACTTTCCTTCACTTGTGATAACTCACAGTGTAACACAGTGCAGATTGATAGTGTCAGTAAAATCTGAGATTCCATTTTTCTATGGGTTTTGGAATAGATTTAGAATAATCTGTTGTCGGTAAGCCGCATAACAATAACTTATTTCTAGCAACATTTAAAAGAATTTTTAAAGCAAATTAAAGTTTTGGTCAGGTTGTAAATTAAGTAAGTGAGTAAGTAAACTAAGTAAGTAAAGTAAATGAGTAAAGTAAGTGAGTAAAGTAAGTGAGTAAAGCAAGTGAGTAAAGTAAGGAAAGTAAGCAAAGTAAGTAAGTAAAGTAAGTAAAGTAAGTGAGTAATGTAAGTGAGTAGAGTAAATAAGTAAAGTAAGCAAGTAAAGTAAGTAAGTAAAGCAAGTAAGTAAAGTAAGGAAAGGAAGTAAAGTAAGTAAGGAAAGTAAGTAAAGTAAGCGAGTAAAGCAAGTAAGTAAAGTTTTTTTTCTCAGGCTGTCTAATATTTGTTCATGGTGCAGCATGTAATAATCATTCATTTACGAGCTGGAGCACACCAGGAGGAATTTATTCTGTTGCCACAGTAGATGTTAAAGCACACAGAGTTAAGCTCCCACGTTTCTCCCGGAGCGCACCGGGCAGCGGAGCCGCTCGGCGATGGCACCCAGGCGATGCTGCCCCTGCAACATCCGCCAAGGAAACATCACCCAGCAGCGATTTCGCTCTGGAAATCCAGGGCTTGCTTGCTGCTGTCCAGCCCTGTGGCTGCCGCGCTCCCTCCCCAAAGCCCCGGGAGCCGCTGCCAGCGCCACCTGGTGCCGCGGGAATGTCCCCAAGGAGCGACATCGACACCAGCCTGGGGCTCCGCCTCCCTGGGGACGGCTCCATCCCACCAAACAGCGGTCCAAGGTTGCGGTGGGAGCACTGGGTTTGGGTTAAATGCATCCTCTCTTGCAGTTTGAAGGCAAGAACAGCCCCAAGACAATTGCAAACACAGTCAAAACCTCCTTCTTAATCAACCTAATCCCAATAACAATCTGCATCCACTCTGGAACAGAAAGCCTCACCTCCTTCTGGGAATGAAAATTCATTATAAACTTCAAAATCCCCATCAGCCTAAAAACAGACTTCTAGTCCCTTACCTTCTTCCCCACTGCACTGTTCATATCACAACCTATCGTACAAGTTCCAATATATGGCCTCAGACCCCTACATTACAAAACTTTTCACCCACCTGCTATTCTTCCTAATCACCATACTCATCCTAATCATTGCCAACAACCTATTTGTCCTATTCATTGGCTGAGAGGGAGTTGGAATCATGTCCTTCCTATTAATCAGCTGATTAGTAGAAAAGACACCAAAACACCTTCGGGAGTTTGCGCTTCTGTGAAACGCACAGTGTAGGAAATCTGGGGATCCAAACCTCCAAAAAGTCAACTCTGCGACCATGACTCAAGTGAATAATCATGAGGCATCTGTGGGACTGCTTCCAGGAGTGGGAAAAGCAGCATATGTCTCCAAAAGTGCTTAGAGCAGTGCAATTCTGCCAATTCTGTCGTGCATCTCCTAGCTGCTGGTTGAGGACGCAGCTTTGGGAGTCAAGTGCTTCCATCTGAATCTGAATTCTAGCCTAAAAAGAAAAACAAACGTTTAACTCTGTCAGATAAAAAAGCTTGAGGAGGTATGAGACATGTGAACCCCCAAAACTAGATACCACCACGAGTAATAAAGCAGTATGTTTTTAATTTTTTGTGAATATCACCCAGAGAGCATGGGCATGGGTGCCTGGAGATGACAAAACTGAGCAAACTCTGGAGTTTGCTCTTGGATGCAGCAGCTCAGTACATCAGCCTTTCAGGAGAGACCACCACCACCCCCAGACTCCCCAGGCTTGCACTTCACCTTCTGCCCTTGCTGAACAACCCTGTGCAAGAGGCTGAAAACAGCTCTGAATCACTTAGGGGGGGAAGGGGAAGAAGAAGGGATGCTGACAAATCCTATTTATTTTCACAGATCAAATATGGCAACGGTGGGTAATCACAATTGTATTAATTTACAGAAATGGGAACTACAATGTTCCTCCTTCACCAGAAAAATAGCCTAAATACAGATACAGCCACAAAACCACCATGTACTGTCTTACTCCTCTTTGTGATTTTATGAAAAATTATAAACCAAAACACAAATCTAATTTATGGTTTGTTTCTTCCCATTTCCAAAATGATCCCAGGTTTTCTGCAAGAGTAGAACGAAGCAACCTGAAGTAGCAAATGTTCCCTCTGTTGTCTGAAATTGGGCAGCTCATAGGGTTATGTGATGCTACAGGAAACTTATTTTACAGTTCTTCTCTTGTGGTTTTCACCCTTATGTGATATTTCTTTTTTTTCTTTTTTCCTTGCTGTTCAGGCCATCTTGTATCTTCTAGCAGGAAGTCAGAGTAGCATCTCGACTGCATCTTCAAACAAGACTTTTGCAAGCTGATGCTCACAAGGGGCTCTGTTTAGAGGTTTGTTCCTGTGGGGAGGCAGGCAGCTCCTCCTGGTTGCTTCTGAAAGCTTCTCTTCATTGCACTTTCCATCTGCACTGGCTTCTGTTTTAGCCACTAAGGTCAAGTCGGTGTGGTTTTCCCACTCTGCCTGTTGCATTAGTGGCACTCTGGAAGTGAGACTTGCACTGGATGGGAAGTGTTTGGTGAATTTTTAAATACCATTATTGATTTCACATTAATTTTCTTTATGAACCGGGCAAAGCTCTTATGCGAGGGTATAACAGCCAAGAAATATTTGACAAGTTGTTTAAAATCTATTGCCTGGAAGAAGCCTGATAGATCAATTAATTTATTTCCCTGCTATTTCAATATATCCTTTAAACATATTTTCACTGATTGTTATTACCCATCCTGAAGTATACAGCACAAAAGCAATCATATATTACCTGCAGCAGAGGGGGCTGCCTCCTGGATCTCTGTCCACAAGAGATATAGATATTTTGCCCAAAGTTGGTTTTTTCCTTGCCTTCAATGAAACATGATTAGAACATAATGATTTTGCCTCTGCATCAGTCCACACCAACTCTATGGTGTTTTAGGGCATCAAACCTGTAAAAAGGGCAGATTCTTTTACATATGCAAACTCCTCTACCTGTTACATCAGTTTATTTCACATTCCACCAGTGTTCCTTTGGATACAGATTATTGATTGCTCCCTAGTGAATACCTTTTTAGTCATTCTTTGGCCTCAGAAAATTACCTTTGAATGTTTTATGCAAGAGTATTCATTATGAACAATTAATGTACTGAAAATGTCAGCACCTCAAGCAGGCATTTTATAAAAGATGAGTAAATTTATGGTAATGCATCATTCAAACTTCCTGCACTTTTCATTCTTTTAAAATTTATGTCTTACATTGCAGTTCAATAGCCTGTAACAATTTGATGACCTGAGTGGAATAATGTCAAAAATGTCTGTGTATTTTAGAAAAAATTTAGAAATTAAGATTTTTATTTTTGCTATTACTGTTTTTAGGTATGTCACAGCTTTATAGTAACGCGAAGTATTTGCTTTATGACAGCTCTTCACATGCTTTTTAATCAGAAGTGAAAAAAACTTGGTTCAGAGCAAGCTTCAGTCTACATAGATCCATTCATAGAAAGTGAGGAAAGTCTTTTGTATCAAGTGGAGGGTGAAAAGACTACTTGTACCCATTTATATTGATATTTGTTAAGTTTTATAATATAGAACACCCTGAATTTAAACCTCTTAAACTTTTCCCTTTGACATGTGGAAGGATCTCAGATTGTTTTGCTTAATTTAGTAAGCTTTAAGCCTCGAAAATGATGCGTGTTTCACATCGCTGTCCAAACGCTCTAAAAAAGTATTTTTAAGGCACTGCCAGCTAATTACCCAAATCCAGGAGCAGCAGATTTTAGTCTGATTTCCAGCACCACTTGGAGTAACAGTCTCAGAGCAGCTGTTTGCAGTGCTGGGAGGCAGAGGTCACTCCAGGCGATGAGGGCAGTGCACACCCCTCTCCTGAGTCACAGCACCACGCCCAGGAGAGCGTGAGCAGGGCAGCTCAGGGGCTGGTTCCTCCTCGGCAAGAACAAAGCTCCCCCCAAAACCAAAAGAACATTCAGCTCTGAGCTTTGCAAGTATCAGCTTCCTGCTCTGATTTACACAGTCACGGTGCCAGTGCCACCTTTGTACCTTTGTGAGGGGACAGGTACAAGAAGCCTTGGGTTTATGAGAAAAAGTTTTGGGGTTTGAGCTTTATTCATCTTTTAGCTGACAGAGGTAGTTGCTAAGTTTAATACTGAGTCAGTACTGAAGTACTTTGGATTTTAGGCAAAAGTCATTAGTTGCAGAAAGATTAGGAATAAATACAATGCCAGATGACTCTCACTCATACATCACAATAAGGGAAATACTGTTGGAATATGGTCTGTATTTCAATTCAATTATACTTGGCAGCTCAATTAGAATTGCTCACTATAATACAGATATTTCCTCTGTCAGTGTACTGTAGTAATGGATATTCTTCCCTTTTTATCTCACATATGAGTGATGAACAGGATGTTTCTAATTAAAACCAACGCCAAACATTCCATTCCCCAATCTTCACCTTTTTATGTTCCTTCACTGACTGCTCTTCCACACCTCCAAAAATTGACTCATAGATTGGGCTGCCACCTCCTTTTTCCACACCTCACAGGCTGAGCATGGAAACCCTGCACACACACAGCCCAACAGAGTGTGGTGCAACAGAACCAGTCACCTCTTGAGATGCTCACGCAGGCTGTGGAAATTCTGGGATTGTGAGAGCTGGACCTCCCCTTTCCACCCAAACGTGTTCAGAGCTATGCAAAATTGCAGCACTGAGCAGCCACAGCCCAGTACTGCCCAACAGTGACTACTGCACCCAATGTCATGTTGGAACAAAGTACAGAGAGAGAAAATTAGATTTCATGCTTTTCCTTCTCCTCAGTTGGTTTCTGCCTCCCTAAAAGAAAAAAAAGTAAAATGCCTGACTGCATTTTTGAACAACTATTAATTACTCCATGCCCAAAGTGGTTCACAAAAAAAAAATGCCATCTACACAGATGTAAATCTGAAAAAACCCAACTTGCATCAAAATATACCTGGTTTTGCCAAGCAGCTTACAAAACAAAGTCATCCATTTAATCACACACAGTAATAAGATGACCAATTTGATAAAAACAAAGACAAGGATCAGCTATTAAAAAATGAAGATTACAAAACAAACAATAAAGGTTAAACATTTATAAACTTCTAGAGTAACAGCTTCTCTACTGATGTTGAACATGAACTTAGAATGACAGCCAGTAATCTGTTTCCATAAAACAGCATAGAGAGATCACTTCCCTTTATCCAATTTCCAAAAGGAAAATTCTTTATAATATTACACTAGCCTTACTCAAGTTTCCCTTCTCATTTTAGCCGAGACTTGAAAACATATGATAATCTTGAGTTCCCATTTTTCTTTTCTGATTTGCCATGTAAGAAACATAAAAACTTAAGCAGCAAGATTTAAGACTCAGGAACTCAGTGACTCAGGAAATCTGAGTTTGTAGTACTGGACACAGCCAAGCAGAGGAAAATCAGATTTTATTTAACATATTTAAAACAGTTGCTCTGTAAGCTGCCCTTACAGTGAATGTGCATTTACAAATACTATATAAATTTTGTTAAGGCCTAGATCACACTCATGCTCATCATCAAGAGTTGGTGGAGAGGATCTTACAGTGCCATTGATCTCATTTATAAATACATGCTTCTGAATGGATGATCTATCCTCTGTGTCTGCTTATCAGCATAAAATAAGATCATGATAAGGACCTGACACATTAGGGATTCGCCACAGAAACAGGGTCATCAGGGAATCAAAATGATCACAGCCAAGACTTTGGTGAGATAAAGATGGGATAGGAAAACCTTCTAGATCTGGAATAACCTAAGATGACAACTGAGTAGACTCAAAAAGGGATACCTGCATCATGCTACGCTTGAAATCTATTATATTTTGTCAGTTATTCCTAGGAAACATATTCTGCTGTTGATTAGCTGACCCTGCTGAGGTGTAGGAACATGTACATTGAAAATGGAGGATAAACAGAAGCAAACATATCACCATGTGGATAACTGCACAAACAATGCAGCACTGGAGAAAATTACCTATAGGTACTGGCCTGTAAGACATTTCTTGCCAATTTATCTGTCACGTGCCCTCAGCAGCAGAAGTCCAAAGCTCCTTGAAGGCAACAACAAACATCACCACCACGTGGCAACAGAGAGAAATGAACTGCTTAAAGTCATTACACAGGTTAAAGTCTCTATTCTCTGGGCACTCCGGAGCTGGTGATCCCTGCAGTAGGTGCTGCCTCCTGCCTGGATGCACTGCTCAAGCACAGAGCACAACGTGGGGCTCCAGCAGCAGCCCAGACAGCTCCTACAGCAGCACAGCCATGGCTCAGAGCATTCCAATAAAACAGATCCAGTTAGGAATGACTTTCCCAGGCCCAGGGAAATACTAAAGGCATGCTTCCAATCTGTCTGCAAGCTTCCTTCATGGAAGGGCCATCCTTTCCCACCCTTTTCGGCACTACCATTGCACAGGTCTGTAAAACAGCTGTGCCTTAGCTGGATTAGTTTGCAGTCATTTTCCCTCCTCGACCTGCCTAACTGTGCTGCTGCACAAATGCTGGTGGACAGAACACGGTACAGGGTAGGTACAGCAAAAATGAGACTGTGAAAAGCAGGATTGCTTCTTAAGGGCTACAGCAATTTGGTCTCCCACTGCAAAATGCTCTTCAGGGCATCCAAAAATGCTTTCTGATGAAATATCTCTTGGTCATAAGAACAATTAGACCTTACCCCCACTTATCAGATAGGGCACAACCAAGAGGTCCACCTGAGGCCGTAAGATGGAGAAAAAGGACCCAATTTCATATTTTCTACCTGCTCCAACTAGAGGAGCAAGCTGGCAAGACATATGTACACAATATGCTACACACTTTTTCTCCTGGCCAGGTCCAATCTTTATATACTGAGAGAACTTTTATGGTAGGAAAGGATACAGCTTTGGAGCAGGACATTTAAAATGGCATATGTCTACCAGGCAGCAAAGTGAAAAACTGTAATCTCTCTCTTTTTACCATGAAGAACTTGTTCCCACCAGTTAACAACAGCAGTTGCTGTTGGGGTTAAAACTGTCAGTACCAATGAAGCCCACACCCAGCTGCTCTCCAGATCTGAAGTGAAGGCAGTTGTATTCACGTGCTGATGCTGAGACCACTCCTGTCTTCCTGCCTTCAGGACTGAAAGCAGCATCCATTCCCACTGCTGACCCCTTTCTGTATGGAGATACCAAATCCCATTCAAGCACCCCACCTCTGGATGCTCTACAATGCTGCCAGCTGTTTGACACATTGAAAATGAAGACTGGCATTCCTCATAATTTCATATTAGCTGTTCATAACAAAGGTGAAGCAGTGTCCCCAGCTGCTTCTTCCCGCCAAGGCCTGTGATAGACCAGTTTCAGGAAACTTAAGGACTTTGTAAAAATGAGGAGTTCAGAATCCCACTGAGATATTCCTAGGGAAGAACCACCCCCTAAACAAACAAAAAATTTCATAAAGAAGCCATTATTTTCCTTTCCTACATCTAAATCTGGAGCCAGGCCCTCATATTACTCCAGCCTCCTGGTATTAAATGATTGATTTTTCCAGTTGGGAGTATTGGATGTACTTCTTGTAAACACTTCTCATTTGGGACCTGACTCAATTCATTATGCTGAAAGATCTCGTCAGGCTGCATCCTCTCCAAGGCAATATAAATAACACCCACACCAGCCTTATTTGGGGGGCAGAAAACCCCAGCTCTAAAGACAGAACTCATCATATGGACACATTGCTGATGCAATGTGCAAAACAAAGTAGGCTCCAAGGAATAAAAACTGAGTGAAGCCCATACTTGATCTCTGTGCATGCATGTCTGAAAATGAACAGTGAGAAGCAAACCTTGAGTGAATGAGACCCACCAAGTCAAAATAACACTCATCACCCATAAAATTATGTGATTTATCCCAAATATATTTTAATTAATTTTAAAATTCAAGCCTTGTATCAGGCTTGCCTTGTGTTCAGACTATGTGAAGCATCTAAACTCGGTACAATCCAGAGGACCAAGTTTGGGGGTTTCATTGCATACTGTCAGGAAAAATGGGCTAAAAATATAGTATGGATACTTGAAACAGCTCCATACTCCCACTCCCTCTCTGAACATACAAAAAAATCCAGAAGGCAGCTGTGTAGATATTTATCTAGCCATGAAAATTCTACCAAGACAGCTAATAATGCTTTAAAACTCAGACACAACCCTCCAGGACTTTATTTAGAAGTTACTTTTATTTAAAAAAAAATAATGAGAACTGAAGTACCACTCATGCTTCCAGAGAGCTTTTGTTAGGGCAGAATTAGAATTAACATGTTAGATAAACATGTTGCAACAGTCATGTGAGCTTATAGGAAACAACACACATTCCCCACCCTGAGGTCTTTATTTTTAGTGCAGAAACCAGGTTGGTATAGCAACAGAAAACATCCCAGCCACAGACATTCACCCAGAAGGCAGCCCAGGAAGGTCAGCTAACATCAAGCTGGATTTCAGGAGACAAGGATTGCAGGTAAAAGAAGAGATTTAAGAGTCTTTTTCTGCAGGAGTGGGAAGATTCTAGATGCAAGAGATGGGTTGTAAAACACAATTAAGAGGAACTGAGGGTCAGAGACATCGCAACAAAATGACATTGGAATTTTTGAGCTGCACAGCAAGCACGTTCAACCAGTTCTAGGTATCCTGAGCTATTTCTGAAAGGCCCATATCTCCCAATCT